CTATTAGAAACTTGCAAGCAAATGGTATTAGAGCCACAACTTAATTTAGATCATCTGCTTCTTCTATTTCGCCTTTTGGCGTTTGTTGTTTCTTTAGGAGAAAAAAGGAGACCCCTCTTTACCTATGATTTAACTATTAAACTACAATCTCAACTTTTAAAATACAATCTCGACGCGAAGTGATCTCATATGTGACTCAATGTCCCTCTTTTGAGAAACTTCTGTCGAATGTTTTCTGCAAGTTGGAGGACCTGCGTTGAATGGGAGATGATTACTCTTATGTGATTTGTTTGCTGTTTCTTAAGAAGAATCAGGCATAAATCTGCATATACTTTCCATACTATTATCATTTAAAAGATAAATCTAATTCTTACTTTTGGAAAAATAGGGGTGAATTTAGGTTTCTGACTCGTATATTGGGTATTTGATACGAGTATATAATTAAGATCTTCAACTTCTGTAAGAATTTTAACCACAAATTTCAAGTCCAAATCGACAAAAATCTATACAAAAGTGCAATTCTACATCAAGGAATTTTAAGTAATTGAATAGTCTAGAAATTATTTGCATAAAAATTGTAAATTAAATATGTTTGATTAATTTTATTTTCAATCTAAAAAATATTATATTTGTTCATTTTTTATTGGTAGGTAGATAGGAAAGACGGGATAGATGAGATAGAAAGAAAGGGTGAATTATTTGGAAAATAAAAACTTATTCCCCCTAAAAAAATATTTTCCTTATTTTCAATGAAAATATTGACCAAAATTAGGAAAATATTTTTCATGAAAAAAATCAATCAAAAAGCACTGAAATAAAAATTTGGATGAAAAATAACATTTTTCATAAAAAATATTGACAATCAAATACACTCTTAATGTTAAAACCTCAAACTACAATTTTATTTTCCACGCTGGGTCAAGGGGTGTTTCTGTGTGATAGTTAAGTTACTTATTTTCTTCAACTAATGAAGATTAGGTTAGATTCATTAATGCCCTAAAGTTGTTTGGCAACAAGATTAACAAATCTTATCCTTGATGCCACAAAACCTTTGTACAGAAAGCCTATGCTTAAATGGCCCTTTTCTATACGATTGGTCATTAAGAGTTTTATTTATTTTTTACCGATGAGATTCTTTACTTGTCTTTTCAAGTTACTAAAACAGTCAAGTATTGGATTTATTTTTTAAAAGACCGTCCTATAATAATTATCAATTATAGACAAAATATCTATTCCCACCCAACATAAGATTACTAGCAGAACCCCTCAGAATAAATATAATTAAGAATTTCATCAGTTTTATGAACAACTAAAGAAAAGGATACATATGATGCTTACCAAACACATTGATCACACACACACACTGATCCCCAAAACACTTTTATCAGTAAGGAGCTTTACTCCTTTATTACTCGGCTTAATTTCACCAATAGTCACCCAACTTTACACTAGCTGTCATTATTATCACCCGATTTGATTTTATTTCACAATGACCACTCAACTTTTTTTTCTCTTTCTACTAATTTTAAAGGGGATAAAATAGTAACTTTGCATTATATATAAAATAAATTTATAAAAAAAAATTTCTAACTTTTTTTAAATAAGTTTTAATTTTATTTTAAAAATATTTTTTTAAAATAATTTTTTATTTTATTTTTCTTGTATCCTTTTTTAGATAAGTTTTTATTTTATTTTTTAAAATAAGTATTTATTTTATGTATATAATGCAAAGTTATCATTTTACTTCTTTTAAAATTAGTGAAAAAGTTGAGTTCCAATGGTGAAATGTTATATAAAATAGGATAGTCATGTGAAATAAAATCAAATTAGGTGATCATGATGAAACAAAACCAAATTGGGTAGTCATGATGACACTAAGTATAAAGCTTGGTGGCCATTAGTGGATTTAATCTCCTCTTACTCACATGTGCAAGAATACTGTACCCTTTGTGCCATCTGTGTTGGTAGAAGAGAGAGAGGAATTTAAGCAACAATTTCCCTCGTGCAGAGGAATTGCTGCCATAATTTCTCCAGCATCATTGTCCAATAAAAAACTACTAAATGTGTTCGGTAGAAATTCTGGCATCACTTTCTATACACATAGTAGAACTGGAATTTAAAAGTTCAATTTGACATCAATGTTGTATCTATAATGATTAGTGCTCAGTTTTGCCTACATCGTGCCCTACAAACACCCTTGAAGAGGATATGAAACTCATTCACCTAGAACAACAAATTCACTCACGAAGGAGAAGCACAGCAATAGTAGTAAGCAGTATCAACAAAGAAGGAGAAAATGAAGGAGATCGAGAAGTCTCGAAGAACAGAAAGAACAAAAGCAAGTCTCAAGAGGCAACCATGAGTAAATGTGAAATAATGAGCGGTTAGACTGTGATATTAGATTTTCATATATATAGGACAAACCTCGACCATCCGATCAGGGGTGGACCCAGACTTTTACTGCTGTGGGGTCAAAAATTTAAATATAATTTTTTTAAAAAACAACATAATATTAATGGAAATAAGTTAATACATATTTTGATACTTTAAAAACGTCGTATAATTACATCATTATCAATATTATTAAATGAATTTTGCTACTCGTATAATTTTGTTTACTATTTCGTAAATGAATTGAAATAAATTTTAAGTTTAATCCATAAAGCAAATGAAATTCAAATTTAAAGAAAATGCAATTCAAAAGTAATCTAAATTACATTTAATCCGTAAAGATCCTAAAAGTTTTTATGTCATATTCCATGTAAAATTTTCTAATAAAATGATATAAATTATATTGAAAAATTTATCGTGTAAAAATAATAAACATTAATGAAATAATTGAATTTTTTAAAAGAAAAGACGAGTTAGACGTTTTTTTAAGATGTATGTTTGTAGTATCCTTTTTTTAGATAAGTTTTTATTTTATTTTTTAAAATAAGTATTTATTTTATACATATAATGCAAAGTTACTATTTTACTCCTTTTAAAATTAGTGAAAAAGTTGAGTTGTCAAGTTATATAAAATAAGATGGTCATGTGAAATAAAATCAAATTAGATGATTATGACGAAAAAAAATCAAATTGGATAGTATGATAACACTAAGCATAAAGTTCGGTGACCATTAGTGGATTTAACCTCCTCCTACTTACATGTGCAAGCATACTGTACCCTTTGTGCCATCTGTGTTGGTAGAAGAGAGAGAGGAATTTAAGCAACAATTTCCCTCGTACAGAGGAATTGCTGCCATAATTTCTCCAGCATCTGTTTGGTCTATTTTTATTTATTTTTTGTCATTGTCCAATAAAAAACTACTAAATGTGTTCGGTAGAAATTCTGGCATCACTTTCTATACACATAGTAGAACTGGAATTTAAAAGTTCAATTTGACATCAATGTTGTATCTATAATGATTAGTGCTCAGTTTTGCCTACATCGTGCCCTACAAACACCCTTGAAGAGGATATGAAACTCATTCACCTAGAACAACAAATTCACTCACGAAGGAGAAGCACAGCAATAGTAGTAAGCAGTATCAACAAAGAAGGAGAAAATGAAGGAGATCGAGAAGTCTCGAAGAACAGAAAGAACAAAAGCAAGTCTCAAGAGGCAACCATGAGTAAATGTGAAATAATGAGCGGTTAGACTGTGATATTAGATTTTCATATATATAGGACAAACCTCGACCATCCGATCAGGGGTGGACCCAGACTTTTACTGCTGTGGGGTCAAAAATTTAAATATAATTTTTTTAAAAAACAACATAATATTAATGGAAATAAGTTAATACATATTTTGATACTTTAAAAACGTCGTATAATTACATCATTATCAATATTATTAAATGAATTTTGCTACTCGTATAATTTTGTTTACTATTTCGTAAATGAATTGAAATAAATTTTAAGTTTAATCCATAAAGCAAATGAAATTCAAATTTAAAGAAAATGCAATTCAAAAGTAATCTAAATTACATTTAATCCGTAAAGATCCTAAAAGTTTTTATGTCATATTCCATGTAAAATTTTCTAATAAAATGATATAAATTATATTGAAAAATTTATCGTGTAAAAATAATAAACATTAATGAAATAATTGAATTTTTTAAAAGAAAAGACGAGTTAGACGTTTTTTTAAGATGTATGTTTGACGCATATTTAACTATTTTCAATATCTGTTTGGACCATTCCATATGACAACAATATAGTTTTCGAAACGAGCTTCTACATGACATATACATTTTGTGGATTTAGATAGCATACGATTGATGATAAATTTTACAAGTTAGGATATTATCGAAATTCTCAAATATTAGTTTCAAACGGACTATTTTGACACGTTGTAACTTTTGCTATAATTGACTACTTCGCATGTCATTAATGAGTGAAAAACTAGGTCATGAATACTTTGAAATGGTATTAAGAATGCAATATTTCGACTTCATATGACATCCTATAATGAGTGCATCAAAGTAGATCGTAAAGTGTTTATATAAAAAAAAAAAAAAAAAAAAAAGCCAAGGCAAATTTTTGTGGGTGGGTCCGCCCCTGCATCCGATCTCATCACGATCTAAGGTTAAAAGTCTCAAACGACACTTTCATTTTTTGGGATCGGGTCAACGAGTGTTTCGGCGTACGATGTTCCGGTCCCTTATTTTCTTCAACTATTGAAAATAAATTTCGATTCATCATCACCCCAAGGTTGTTTGACAACACGTGCCCAACAACTTCTTCAAGTTCACCTTTATAAGTTTGTTGCTTGTTTTAAGTTGAGAGAAAACGGCAATTTCCTCATTACTTATCAAGTTTTGAACTCCATAACTTGTCCCATAATATGTTCGAAGTATGAAGTCTTCTGTAAATAGGTTATAAGGACTAGAATTTTCGTGATTGTTCAGGCTTAGAAATGGTGTGTAGAATTGTGGCTTGTTGAAAAATCAATATGTTTATGGATTAAGTAAATAATAAGGTTTTGAGTATAATTCTTTACTAACTGGAGAAGATGCAGAGAAAAATCTTAGATTGGACTTGAATTTGAACACTTGTGACATTGTATTACAAATCTTTTCTTCAAGTGTTCATTTTACACTTACTGCACATAATACAACAAATGACACTGACTTCTCAGATTTAAAAAGAAAAAAGAAAGAAAAGAAAAGAAAAGCTCTCTCTATGATCTAAATTTTCCGAGAAGTAGTATTTGACATCGAGTACTGCATAACAAACACACAGTTTAGGGTTGAGCCTTCCACAGAGATGATATGTCTGCCACAGCTTCTCCAACTGTAAGATATAATCCTTCCAAACCAAAAGACTCCAAGATATTTGATTGATGCAGCTTTTCCATTACACTTCCAACAGGATTTGCTAACACAAACTGCAAAAAAATTGTAGTAGAATCGCCAATTATTTACAAAACATATTGCGAGTGTTCGTCCAAAGAATTTTATTTTTATTTTTCTAAAACATGGTTTTGTCATGGTTTACCTTGAGGGATCTTTTCTCCAGTAGTTTTCTTAGTTCTTTAATTGTATCGATACCACTTGTGTCTATTGCTGTCACAGCTGGTTAAGAAATATTCGATATTGTCAGAATCCCCAACCTGAAAGAGAAAGAAAAGACTATGTTTTCTTGACTAACCTGTCATATCCAAAATAACACATTTTATACTGTTTCTGTTGTTGGTTTCGATCCATTCTTCCTCTTCTCTAATCCATCTTAATATCCTGTAACCGTTAATTTCTACAATTAGTCATTTAGAACGCGGAAATAGTTATCATGTTTAAAGATGTAAATCATGCAGAAAAGTTGTACCTTTCTTGTATGTAAGTAGAATTTGCGAAGTAAATAGGAGCCTCAACTGAAAGTATAAGGAAAGATGGTACTCTAACAGCTTCTCTGTATCGGTTAAGGTTTTGATATATTTGAGTACTGGGAATGTTCCCCAACACGGCTGTGTTTGGCCTTGTAATGTGCAAGAGAATCTTGAAAATTGAAACTCCAATCTAAAATTCATTGATCATAATCTCGATTAGTATATTTAACAGAAAAAGGAAAGTTTTTCAATGAATTTATGAAGAGAAACTTACTGCTATAGCAAGACCAAGAGGCACGGAAATGAAGAGAACTCCGAGAAAGGAACACATACAAGCTAAGAAATCAAGTTTGTCGACTTTCCATAGACGAATAGCAGCCCAATAATCGATTAGGCCAATGACAGCAGTTATGATAATTGCTGCTAGGATGAAACTGGGAGTGTAATAGAACAGTGGCATGAGGAACAACAAAGTCACAAGCACAGCTGTCGCCATTATTTTATTGGAAACTACAGTTTGTGCTCCAGCATTATAGTTCACAGCAGATCGTGAAAATGATCCTGTAAGTATGGATCAAGCTTCAGTTTTATTACAACACTGTCTATTACCGACGAATTGGTGATCGAGGGAAGAAGTTGAATATGAAAATGAGATTGTTACCAGTTGTGACATAGCATGATGAACAAGATCCGGCCATGTTCATTAGGCCGATAGCCATCATTTCTTTATTTCCATCAACTTGGTAGTTCTTTAGAGTCGCAAATGTTCTCCCCACTGCAATCCCTTCCTACATAACAACAAAAAATGATTACGATATGTTCTATCGTTTTCGTAAATATAAGCGCATTCGGGGCCGGAGCTAGGATTGTAGATTTGTAGGGGGAAACTCCTAAAACTAAAATCTTGGGGGCAAAAACTTGAAGTACAAATTTTTAATTGTGAGGGCAAAATCGATAACTATAAGGAATTTAAATAAAGATTTAAAGGATTTGAAATTGAGTGTAGGTCAGGTGACCCCGTTGTCTCAATATTGAATCTGCCCCTAAGAGCATTAAAGATTGAATTAAAAATTAAGTATGCGAAATTATAGGAAGTAACTCACTGTGAGAGACAGTATTCCGGTTACAATACCGGTTTTCATTGAAAGAGCCAGATGAGGGCCATGAAAATACAGCATGTTCAACGACGGGGGATTTAGACCCTTTGGCAAGTGTCCAATCTGTCGAAATTGATAAAGATTTTCAAATAATGCGCAATGAAAAGAATAGGTCGAACATTTCTCATCAATAATCATATGCACTTGAATCAAAATTTCTTACTGTTTGAATCCCATGAACCTTGGATTTGAGGCAGACGATGAGAATGGTAGACAGAATGACTGATGCTAATGGGGCAGCGGCCGAAACCCAAAAGAGTTTCGGTTTCCTGATGCTCTGCATTCAACGATTAAAACCGGAACTATAATAAACTAATGAAAGAAAATCTACACGAATATCAATATACTTTGGAGTGATCACGAATGCTTACAATTTGCCTTGTTGTCAATAACAGCACTAGAAAACTAACTCCCATAACAATTGTTAGCCAGGACCACTGCATACGTTTGACATAAAATAAATCAGAATCCAGCATGCTAAACATGTCATAAATGCTTTTCGACTACTTTAGAAGAGCGTTTTTGGCATCTCTAGTGCTAACTGATATCAGAATATTGCAGACTCGACATGGTGTCAAACAGAACAATAACTCAATGAGGCCGTAACTTAAAGAATGGAATTCTAATCGATCTTTTTATACCAAATTCCATAAAATTATATTCTACCTCATCTCTGTGATGGAAGACGGATGACAACACGGGAATTAGTTGCATCTTGTTAGTGAAATGGTCTATCCCAAATAGCCCTTTCAGTTGTTGCAATGCGACGATGACTGCTGCACCAGCCATGAAGCCAACAAGAGTTGCCTTCGAGAGAAAATCGATAATAAATCCTAGCCTGGAATTACTTAACTTTAGTATAATTATTGTTTCTAAAAATTAGGAAACCTCACGAAGTTTTTGCAGTAGTGTACCTTAGAAAACCGAGGGAGGCTTGAAATAATCCAGCGAAGAAAGTGGCTGTCAAAGCAAGCTGAAGGTAAAGAATTGGTTCTTCACTGTAAGAAACCGACTCACTGAGCATTGTGCCCATGACTAGAGATGCTATTGAGACAGGACCGACTGCAAGATGCTTAGAACTCCCAAGAACTGAATATATCAAAGGTGGTATGAAGCTCGAATCTGCATAAAAAAGAATTACCAAGAAAATGATGTGAAGTTTTTCAATTTGTTTAAGGGTCAAAAAATCTTATCTAAATATCAACAAATTCAGAGAGGGTTTGAGGTTGAAACTTACAAAGGCCAACTATAGGTGGTAAATTTGCAAGCTTTGCATAACTAATCCCCTGCATCGGTGAAAAGACTGATCATTTGCAATTCAGAGAGCCTCATATCATAAAGAATTGATAAATTCTAATTATTCTAATAAAATCATGGTTTTCGAAGCATATACGAACTAGATCATGAGAGTTTTAGAGCCTAAAAAGTTGAACTTAGGTTCATAAATGACAACTTATACACGACATTGGCATCATACTCTAGCAGGAAAATGCCCGTCAAACATTTATTCGATAGGACATGATAGTATAACTGTTTGAGTAATTCTGTTTGTACATAATAATGTAAGATTGATGATATGAATAGTATTAACTAACTTCATTTTATCGACTCTTGTTTTTCTTTATCTCTCGCTTCCTCGTCATCAATATGTAAACCAATCTGTGCACAGTTTTGTATAAATAGCATTACTCTAATTGTTTTATAAAAACTCGAGTAACTCCTACTCGTCAACGCGTACGTGAACATATTGAGCCAAATTTGCTAGTGTTCAACTATAGTAGCAAGACCAAGAGTTTTAACCTGATCCTTTGTTTGTCTTAGAAAATCAAAATCACACAAGACTATCTTTAGATGAACAAACTGTTCAATCTTAAAACCTAATATTCGCAAATAATACTAAACCTCGGACTAATCAAAATAGTTTCTACGGTATTAAGGAAGAAATACAAAATAAAATCATATCGAGATTGATAAAGTACCTGTGGAATCGCCAGGCTTGCAATTGTTAACCCCGAAATAACATCAGACTTGAGCAATTTAAAACTATAATTCGGTGCCCACTGGAAAATAGGGAAGAAAAACTGGAGCCCCAACACCAACTTTCTGTACCATGTTTGGTTCGTGAATTTGTGAAGTGGATCATCAGGGAAGAATATTTCAGAAAGGCGGTGCCGGAGTTTCTGCACGGTGGTTCTTGGCTGTGGTAAGGCCACCTTGTGCACTTGCAACGGCGGCATTGCCATATCTAACGGAATTGTGACGACGGTTCCGGTGGTGGTTTTAAGACATGCAGGGCCTGAAAAGTTTTCTACTCTATTAGAATTTATGCCCATTTAATTGCATACGATTAACTACCACTTTTCTGCACAAAAAACAGTTACATGTGGTGGTTTTGAATATACGAATCGAGAGGGATTCTTCAGTTTTTTGTAAACTTGGATATCTTTCAGACAAGGTGAACCTTTTATAGGGCAAAAATAGAGCATCATTTACTTTATCAAATAAATATAATATAACACAACTATTGAATAGTGCTTGTTAAATTTTGACGCAATTAATTTTACTAGTCTCGACTTAGGTCCAGGAGAAAGATTAATAAATTCGATTAAAAAAATAAAATAATAGATTTTCAAAATTTCTCTGTATTCACACTTATGTTATGAATTAATAATTTGTTAAAATAAAATTGATTATGATATTACTTGAAATTCAAGCTTGATTAGAACTCGTACATGCACTTGAGATTCTCGAGTTGGATTCTCGTATTGCTACAAGAAATTATATGGCGGTGTTCATCCAGTTTAACAAATTTTGAAGAAGTTATATTGATTGTTGGCAATATCATAAGTGATTGGAAATGATCTCTTAAACACCGAAATTTAGCTTTATGTTATGCAACGGTGACATGGCACACCATTTAATAAATGGTGTGTTATGTCATCGGTACTTAACATAAGCTAAGCACCGGTGTTTAGAAAATCATTCCTGCATAAGTGGTTATCCTCTCTCTCTCTCTATTATATCGTAGTTTTCGATTCATTGACTCTCGTATATCTTTAGTAAGTTAATGCTTTTAAATTTTAGTTTATTAAATATTAAATGAGTAAAATGAACATTTGAAATAAACATCATACTAGACATTCGACCCCCCGATTGAGGCCCATTTAATTTATAGGATAAATCTTCTTGTACAGTTCAAGGTTTGCTTGTACAGTCTGAGGTGGACTGTATAAGTTTACATCCCTCAGTGTCAACCGAGCTGTCAAACTAACTGTTTGTACAGCTCGGTTGAAATTTATAATACATCTTTCTCTCTTTTTTAACCACACGTTCTCCAAAAAACACTATTCTGAAAATTATAACATCAAAATATGGGGGAGAAACGGAGGCTCAATATCTTCATACATTAATAAATTATTAAAGTACTAATTTAATTAGCCCTTGTTTGAGCCCCATTTTGGGGTGCAAGAATGCATTTTATATAGTAGATTGATAGAGAATGCGTGGTTAAAAATTAAGGAAATTTTTTTTTTGCGTGAAATATTATTTTATTAAAGAATGTGTGATTGAAAATGAATTTTGAAAAAATGAATTTCTAGAAGAATGGGGCCCAAAAAATAGCTTAATAAATTCAATTAATAAAAAAAATTACAAAAGTTTGAATATAACCCTCAAAATTTTTTTTTTTAAAATAATTAAAGTGATGTATATATTTTTTTTAAATTATAAAAGTGATACTGTTTATTTTATTTTAAAATATCATATAGCACTTTATCTTACTTTCAACACGTTTTCTACTGCTTTCGTGTTCAATGGAGACATGAGTGGAGTATGTAGATAAACGTACAACTTTATTTGCCCAAATTTGATGTCCAATGAAACTAGAACTTGGTGTATAAAACTAGGTAAACTTATAGTCTTGATTAGATTTTTATTTTATCTTCTCTTACGGTTTGAAATAAACGGAAAGCAAAAAAGATCACTCTAGTTTAATTTATTATTAAATAAATGGTGTCAATCGTGACAATTGCATTATTCAAAGATTCAGTACGATTATAGATGCGAATATAAAATTTGTTCATAAATACCTAACCGAAGTAGGGAAAAACAAGAAGATATGGCCAACTTTATGTTGAGCCAGTTTCAAAGTGCGAGAAATTTTTAAAAAAGATGTATCCTTGCCTGCTGCTTCCCCTTCCTTCCTTACTGGTAAAACTATTAGACTTGCATCGGCTTATTCTGTTTGTTATTCAAATGAGTTATCCGTTTCACCGAGCGTGAGGCTTTCTCACGGTAATGAACTTTTCTAGAATACTCTCTTCTTGAATATCATTCAAAAAAAAATTCAAATTATCCATTATTAAAATTGGAGGGTCTAGAGGGAATTTAGTCAACGTTTGACAAAGTTTTTTGAGAACAAAAATTGGTGGATATCAGGAAATGTGTGATTGAGAGTAGATGACAGATATAGGTCCAGTAAATTTCGATGAACTGATTAGCTCAGGAAACCTTTGTCGAAGACTATTTACTTTTTAGATTAGACAACACTCATTAAAAAGATTAGAGAAGAAAAAGAAATTAAAATAAATGTGCATGTCATGAGTTTTTAATTGCTTCATTTTCTTTAGTGGCACGACCATTAGCAAGTCAAGTCTAGATTAGTATGTGTTAATAGTGACAAAAGAAGGGAACAATAAGTTGGCAAAGAGATAGCACAATTTGATGGTAGGACACAAAAAACACGTTACAAGTAACAACCTAGAAAGCTCATATTTTGATGTCATTTGAATTTAAATTACACTTTTTTTAAAGTTAGAAAAGTATTTAAGTTACGATCATAATAGTGCACCATCAGAATATTGGTACGAATGCCGAAGGCATTTCTATTTGAACACTAGGAATTTCACTTGTACTTGAGGAGTAATCTTTGTTCACTTTATATTATTACATAGCGATTATTTATGAATGAAAATTTTGCACTTGTCAATTCTTTAACAAAAATAAATAAATCTAATCGCACGACAAAAGGTTCAATATAAAGGAAGAGTTTCGATGTTGATATTGTCGGACGAGGTGACCTAACTAAATTGAAATAAACCTATAAATTCAGGTGATCCAGTGGCCTATTCAAAAAATTTGAGTGACCCACGGAATATTACCCAAAATTTGGTGATATCTCAAGCAAAAGAATATCTGCCAGTCATTATTTTATATATGTTTTTCCTTTTCTATTTTAGGCAGATAATTTCCTGGTGGGGTTCGTAAACACGTTGCTTGTTGTACGCGACGAATGGTGGATGCCTTGACCATGACTACAAAAATGTATATGGTGATAATTCCTTATATCTCTCAATTGAGTATCCACCATGGATGAACCAGATTTAAATAAGAAATAACTCTAAAAAGTCCCTTTTACACAAGAATATTTCCCATTTCTTTTCAAGATTTTTTTTTTTCCTTTTCAAGATTTTTTTTTTTTTTTTTTTT